CAATGGATGGGGAGAACTCCGTCACGCTGTCGCACGCCGACAGTCGGCCGAATCGGCGTCGTAGACAAGGATGAAGCCAGCGCTGCACTCGCACGTGTCTGTGCAGCCTGGGCAGGAGTGGCGTGCCTCGTAGGCGTCCATCTGGCGAATGGTGTCGCGGATGCAATCCTCGCCCTGGTTGGAGCAGCACACGTCAAGCACCACGTCGAGCTGCTCGTCCGTGGGCTTGGCGCACACCATCTCCTCAAACAGCTGCGTGACGAGCTTGTTGCAGGTGAGCGTGTCGCAGGAGCACAGGCGGTCTGTGGTGAGCGTGGGCGGGATGGTCTCGATAAAGGGCTCCTCGCACACGCTGGTGGGGAAGCACGAGGCGCGTTCCGGCAGCGGCTGGTACTCCATGCCGAGGGTGCAGCTCACGCATACGCGGTCGCGCACGGCGTTGCCAGAGACAGACAAACTCCTTCCGGCCAGGCTTGCACTCGGTCCAGGGAGAGCAGACGGCGTCAGAAGATGAGGAGCATGGGCTCGAGGCCCAGGCGCCCATGCCACACGTGGTGCATGGCACGCAGCGGTGGTCCTTGGCGTAGTAGTGGAGAGGGCAATGGGTAATGCACGCCTGGTGAAGTTGCCGTCGCAGAGGTTGAGGCAGTTGGTGGCGTTTGGTGGAGTGGCACTTAGCACACGCGTGAAATGGCATTCAGCACACCCATTACCGAGCTCATACTCGCCATCGGGGTACTCGCTGATGCAGCGGCCGTTATTGGAGGTGAGGCTTGGGTCTGCAGGCCGTGCACTCATCGATGCCTGGAGGGGAGGGAGTGGGAGTGGAGGGGAGGATGGGGTGAGAGGCAATGACAACACTTTTGTGAGGTGTTGAGGAACCTTGCACCGCTTGATCATCTCAAGGATACAAAACTAAGAAGAGGCTTTGAGGACAAGCACGCACACACACACACACACACACACACACACACACACACACACACACACACACACACACACACACAAAGCCAGCACAAGTAAACGTACCATTGGCTCGTGATGAAGCTATCTTTGAGCACCTGCCGCAAGGCGTTGTGCACTGTGTGGACTGTTGTGCGGTTCTGCTGCACAGCCTGCCCCAAGTGGCTGTTTTTGGTGCAGTATGTCCCCCAGAGCTCCATGTCCGCGCCGCCGTTCAGCGTCTTCGCGACGGCGTCGACGGGGTCGCACGCGTGCTTGTTGGCGTTGACCATGTGTGCAAATCGCACCGCAGTCTGTTCCAATCGTCACCATGTCACACTTCCACTGCCCGCGCACGACTCGTTGAACAGCATGTTGTTCGCACACGGAGAGGGCACACCGTTGATGCTGGCGTTCGAACACATGGCAGCGAGTGCCCGTGCTTGTACTGCACATGAGACACATGGCAGAGGGGAGCGGGATGAAGACGAGGAAGTGGGAGGTGAGGGGGATGGCGCAGGCATGGTGGCGTGGTCGAACTGACAAGAAATGCCTGATGCGAGGTGCACGAGCTGACACACACACACACACACACATACCTCGGTGTCCCAGAAGTCAAAGGTAGACATGTTCCCGTTGAATGCCATGCGGTTTGTCTCGACCGAGTGCGCGTCAAAGTGCTTGAAACCTAAAACCGCGATGGAGCGGTGACAGCAGTGTAAATGACACGTCCACCATCAAGTGCGCAAGTGAAACAGCGTCGCTGACACGATTGTGCGTTTGCATACACACATGTGTGAGTGTGGATGCGTGTGCGTACCTGCTGTCATTTTCTTGTACTTCTTGTCTGTGCCGTCCTGGCAGCCGGTGACGTCAGCAGCAGCGCACTCACCGCTCAAGCACGGGTCTCAGAGGTTGAGAGGGGTGCAGTGAAGGCGAGTGGGTGGGCCTGCAAAGTGAGTGAGTGAGTGAGTGGGGATGAGTGTGAAGGGGGTTGGTGGCATGCGTGCGACTGTTCTAGAGTGATCGCATGTGTGTGTGTGTGTGTGTGCACCGGCATCAGCAACACGTGATGAAGGGGGCACCTGTGAGTACGATCTTCTGCAAGACGCCGCCACCTCTGTGCCAGTTGAGATCGTTGAAGGCGCGCATCTCCGTGGATACGACCTGGAAGCGAAGAACCGGTGGTGGGGGACGAGGAGGGAGGGAATGAACGACAGGAGCTTTGATCAAGAAGAAGAAGCCGACATAGCAGACGCACACACACACACACACACACACACACACAGACACACACAGACACACACACACACACACACACGCACACAAACCCTGACTGACGGTTGCGCCAAGACCTGTGGGGGCAATGAAGGTGGTGGCACACTTGTCCTGGCTGATGATGCACGCAGAGACAACGGCCGTGTTCGTCTCCACCAGATGCAGATACGGCGGGATGTCAAGCCTGCACCCATGCACACACACATGCAAGCATGAAGAGGAAGGTGGTGTGGCCGTGTGAGCAATGGTGGTGGTGGTTGATGCCGCTGTGGCACGAAGAAGCGGGAGAGAAACACAAGCAGACAGAGTTACGAGTCACTGCGTGGGCGCTGCATGTCCTTTCCCACCTCTTGACGCCGTAGTCAAGGAAGGCGCATGGGCTGGTGACGGGATCGGGGCCAATGAGACCGGCCATCTCCTGAAGACTGAGGCGTCCAATGAGGTCGTCGAGGCGGGCACCGATGGACAGACTCGTGTTGCAGAACGGCAACTCCTTCGTCGCTGCAGACAGGCACGCATGGCCTGACGAGGCAAAATACAACAGCAGACACGTATGAGCTGAGAGAGAGGGCGTGTGTTGTGTGTGTGTGTGTGTGTGTGTGTGTGGTTGTGTTGTGTGTTGTGTGTGTGTGTGATTGCTGTGGTGTGTGTGTTGGGATCACCTGTCGGAACGGGTGTGCCGTAACAGTTTGCCCGGATGATATTCATGCGATTGGCTGCTCCGCACATCTCGGTCGAAGCCCCCATACACGGCTCATTGCAGTCGAAGGAAGGCTGGACATGTGTGTGTGGGTGTTGGGGGGGGTGTGAATGCTGACACTAATGTGCACCACACACAGACACACAGACACACAGACACACGGACACACAGACACACAGACACACAGACACACAAACACACACACACACAGACACAGTCACACAGACACAGACACACACAGACACACACACACACACACACACACACACACACACACCGCCGAGACTGCGCGGTGGAATTCAGCTTGGGTGTTCGCAGAAGTAGCATTGGTAGCCGTACTCAACGGTGCTGAGCGAAAAAGTTTAAGGTGTAGCAGAGCGTGGCACACGCCTCACACGTCATGGGTGTCTGCGCCATGTTGCCAGCAAACGCAAACGTCCGATTGTCAGCGCGGTGTGTGCGAGTGTGTGTGTGGGGGGGGGTGGTGTGGTGTGTGTGTGTGTGGGGGGGAGGTGTTGGTAGGTGAGCGCAGCGATGGAAGGAGGGGATGGGCACGCAACTCGTTTCACACACACACACACACACACACACACACACTCACACACACACACACACACACACACACACACACACACACACACACACACACACACACACCTTGATGCATTGTACGTGAGCTTGGACGACGCTCGCCACAGTGGCTGAACAGCACACACAGCACACAGCCACCAACCCCAACAGCAGCGCTGTCACTGCCGTTGCACGCATCTTCCTTTTTGTCTTCTTCCACAAAACACAAACACAAACAGAATTGTGCCGAGTCAGCACTTTCTGCTTTGTTGTTGAAAGGGTTCACTGCTGTGATGGAAGGCGCACACACAGACACGCACAAGCACGCACAGACACGCACATGCACGCACACGCAGAGGCGAACGGCTTGACAGGAGCAGTGCTCTGCGTGGAGGAACGACAGGGAATGGGGTAACAACTGCTGTGCTGCTTACAACCGGGACAAAAGCACGACAAGTGCATGGCAAGCCAGCCAGCAGGCAGGCAGTGAACAGCCACAAACAAGTCTCCTTCTTGGCCGTTGCATACACATGTGTGACAAGCCACAAACACTGTCAGTCAGCCCACCGTCTGGCAACAGCATCCAAGATGCACTCGGCAAGGACACTGGCAACTGCGATTGGTGATTGTGGCGTCGTCGCCAGCAACAGCCTCATCTACGGCATCCCTCCTTTTGATGCAACTCCCACCACCTCTGTGCTCATCATCAGCCCATCCACAACAACAGCAACAGCAGCGGTGACAGCAGCAGTGGATGAAACGACCACCATCAACAGTCTGCAAGCCGGTTGAGCCATGTGGGCACTGCAGGCGGCGTGCTGGCTCACAACACCCTCCTCGATAGGTGTGACCACTGATCGCAGCACGAATACAGCAGACACCACCATGCTTGGTGAGCTGCAACACGGCGGATGCAAGTGGATCAGCGGCGTGGCTGCGGACAATGGCCTTTTCCTGCCACGGCATTCCATGCAACTCGCCATTCATCCTCATCGTCGATCCAGCCGCAAGTGCGGTGGACACAACCATGCTGTCCGTTCCAGAAGTGGTGTGATGGTGTGTGTTGGCTGGCAACGACTTGCACATGACATGCCCTGGCTCGTCCATCACCTCCTCCTCGTCAATCCACGATGCTGACACAGGTAGGCGTGTGTGTGTGTGTGTGTGTGTTTTGGAACGGAAATGCATCTTGGGTTGGTACGCACCATGTGCGACTGCTGATGCTGACACGCTTCACCAATCCTGTCTGTTCCATCTCATCACACAACCTCAGTGAATTCCACCACCGTGACGGCCTCGATGTGTCCATGCCACTCTTCTCCATGGTGACATTCATTCACACCGGAGCAGTGACGCGTTTCGCCCACACACACACAGGAAATACCTCGTCATCTACTGGTCTGTGCATGCACGTGTGTGCTGTGTGTGTTGTGACGTGGTACGATGTTCACTGCTGCTGCTGCTGGGTTTAGAGGGGCTGGTGTCGCTCATTGCACCACCGCTCGCTCTTGTTGTGCCGTGACTGCAATCTCACTCCAACCCTGTTGTGGTGCGGCTGCTTGACGTGTGCCTTCTTTCCCTGTTGTGCAGACGCACTATCAAGTCTGCTCATTCTGATGCCATGCGCAACCACCTCCCCAAGCTGCACAACGACAGGTGAGGTGTGCTTCGCGTGCGAGTGTTGTGTGTTACTTCGTTCCGTGTGCGTGTGTTGTGTGTTGCCTCGGAGTCAACTTGTTTTGGTGCTGTGTGTGTATCTGTCTGGAACCACCTCACACACACACACACACACATCGCCTGTGTTTGCGTGCGTGTGCGCAGGGACATTGTGTTGGTGTGCGCGTGCCGGTGGTTTGGCGAAGAGCGCATGGGCCGTGAGGGGGAAGGTTGGATATGACCCCTCATGTAAGCAGGCAGAGGAAGAGTTCAACAAGTACACGTACACGGAGCTGGCGCTGGAGACCAAGTTTGGGCTCATCGTGGAAGGATTTGGCTATCACCCCTTGATGCGTGCGTGCGTGCGTGCGTGTGTGTGTGTGTGTGTGTGTGTGTGTGTGTGTGTGTGTGTGTGTGTGTGTGTGTGTTGCAAACGATTTCGGTCCTGTTTGTGCTCTTACCCACCTTCCACCTCCTGTCACCCCCTTGCATGCCTCGTTGATCGTGGCTGCTGGTGCCATCCCCGTCATTGTCGTCGATCACTACGTGCTGGTGCCATCCCCGTCATTGTCGTCGATCACTACGTGCTGTGTGTGTGTGTGTGTGCGTGTGTGTGTGTGTGTGTGTGTGTGTGTGTGTGCGTGCGTGTGTGTGTGTGTGCGTGTGTGTGTGTGTGTGTGTGTGTGTGTGGAGATGTGCCCCTCCCGTCACTCATGGTGCTGTAATGTGAGGTTCTGGTGTTTGCTTTTTTGCATGCTTGCAGCCCTATCAGGACCTGCTGGACTGGGAGACGTTCAGCATTCGCATTCCCCGAGCACAGGCTCCTCGAGGTGTGGTGACAGATCGGTGATATGGGAATGTGAAGCGATGCATGAGGGGTGGTGTGTTTTGATGGGGATTGTGTTTGGTGATGGCTTGCATGTCACGTCGCACACACACACACACACACACACACACACACACACACACACACACACACATACATACAACTGCGGTTAGCTTCCGAGGGTCCTGCGGTCGACCCCTGATGAGGTGGTAGGGATGATGCAGAGACGCGTTGTGTTTGTGTTTGAGGAGTTCTTCAAGTCTCTCTCCACCCAAGTGCACACAGGTGAGGGAGTGAGTCATTGGGACAGGAGGCTGTCGAGTGAGTGTGGCGACGTTCGTGGTGTAGTGTGTGCGTTGCTTGCTTGTTCTCGTGTCCATTCAACCACTCTCACCATCTGCCAACTCGTGTGTCTTGTCTGCGCTTTTTGCTGCTGTCAGCGCTGGAGTCTGCCAGGATCAACCTGTTTAGTGGCGAGAACGCGTGGCAGGTGTGTGTGTGTGTATGTGTGTCAGTGTGTGTGTCGACGTCCGTGTTCTCTTCTCCACCCACCCACACGCCATCATCACCACCTCCTCATTTTCTTGTGTGGTTGCTCACATCCTTCCCTCCTTCCCATCCTCACCACCACTATCACCACCCACCACCCTTCTCGTTTTGTTCTCTTTCTTTCTGCTGTCGCCACACAGAGGGCCCTTTGAGCCAGCAGCTGTCACCCTCCCCCTCCCTCCATCAACCACCACTGCTGTGGTGGGATGAACAGACGGGCGCTGCCATGTGATGACCATCCAGCCACGCTGTGCGGCTGCGGAAGCAGCAACACCAACACAGACCACAAACAAGCAAGCGATGAGCAACGTGAGTGCATCACTGCACGTGTGTGTGTGTGTGATGCGCACAGCACCAGTGTGCGTGTTTTGTGGTCGCTGTCTCTGCTGCTCCTGCCTCCCCTCGTTGTCCCACATGAATGTGCATGCATGTGTGTGGTGCGGCTGCTTGTTTTGCCTGGCTTGATGCGCCGTCTCCCTCGTCGTTCTCACACACGACTGCCTGCACACCTGCACATTCTCCACCTTGCAGCTGCTGCTTATATTCCCCTCTCTTTCTCGCCCTCCCTGGCAGCCATCACAACAACAACAACAGCCAACACACCCTCCACCGCCAATGCAGCAGCAGCAGCAGCAGCACCACCACCACCACCGCTTGCCGCTGAACACATCCCTCCAACCAACCAACCAACCAACCAACCCATCGCCCGCTGCTTGCAGCTGCAGATGCGACAGCACAAGTTGCATTTTCGGCTGGAAGCGGCAGCAGCAGAGGTGAGGGAAGGCGAAGATATGTGTTGGCTGGATGGATGGATGAGGTGGGGTGGGGTGGGGGATGCTGGGTGAGTGTGGTGTGGTGTGGTGTGGCTGATGACAGAGGACGATGGTGTGTGGTGGTGGTGAGGAAGAGGGATGGATGGAATGGATGGGTTACAGCATGTCTTGTTCCTTCCCTTCTGTTTTCTGTTTTCTCTCTCTCTTCCCTTTCTTCTCTCCTTCACACAAATGCATGCAGAACATCAGCAGTGGCATCAGCGGTGTAGCTGCGCACATATCCATGCTCCCTCTTTCCCTTCCACTCACTCACCATGCTGGTGCTCGCACACAACCACACTCACAGGTGATGCACACGCACAAGCAGCAGGATGAGGAAATGTCGAGGATACTTGTCACGCGTGCCAGCTGCACTCGCCCCACACATGGTATGTGGGTGGTGATGAGTGGTTGGTTGGTTGTGTGATGGAGTGTGGGGATGGGGTTGTGGTGATGGTGTGAAGTGAACAAGAGGAAGAGGGGTTGATGGGGGGATGATGGACACACACATCGACACACACGCACACACACGCACATGGTGCGTGTGACGTCCATCACTCGTTCTGCTGCGCTGACGTGATGGCTTGCTCTGTGCCTGTTGTGTTCTGTTCCCATCCACGGTCCCTGCAACCACGCACATGCACAGGTGGTGAGGTACCAGCACACATCACTTGGAAGCGGGCTAGCATGCTGGCTGCTGCTGGTGCAACTTCCCCGATTCGGCTGCCGTCGCTGTGTTCATGCAGTGTTCCCATATGTGTGAGCAAGGTGAACCCATCACGCATGATTTGGTTGGCACATGGTGCATGTGTTGTTGTTGCTGCTGCTGTGCCTGGTGCAGCAGTGTAGCTGTGCAGCTCACATGCGATATGTGTGTGCGCTTGTGGCTGCAGGGGAGCGACTGCGTGAGGATCGTTGGAGGATGATGAGCGGGTGCACACACGATGGAATGGGAGGAGCAGCTGTGGACACACACGTCCATGGTCATGGTGGGCACATCCAACCACAGCGACGCAGTCATGTGCAGGTGTGTGTGTGTGTGTGTGTGTGTGTGTGTGTGTGTGTGTGTGTGTGTCGTGGGGTGAGGGGGAAAAGCAGAGGAGGGGACGGAAGGTGAACACGTCTGCTGTGCTCACATGCCATGCCTGTGCCTTGTGTGTGATGATATCGTTGTGTCTTGTCGTTGCGTGTTGGTTGCATGGGCACCAGGGCCACATCACAGGAGGGCAAGGAAGCCGCCATGAATGACACACATCATCATCATCATCATCAACCCTTCCCCATTTCCCTCCTCTTCTACCTCAGCTCGGCCGTCATCACCGCCCTCACCACGACCATCGACGGCACAGCCGCCATCACACCCGGCCGACACCAGCCCCAATCTGGCGTGAGGCAGACATTGCACATATCAGTCGCTCTGATGAAGAGGTGAGCAGTGTGCGTATGCGTGCATGGTGATGAGCGGGGACAACATGTGTGCGTGCGTGTGGATGTGTGTAAGTGCGCGTGGTTTGATGGGTTTGGCGTGTGGTTGATGATGCTTCGCTATCAACCTAACCCCTGCATTCTCTCCCATCTTGTGTCTGTGCACACACAATTCACAGCGTTGAGGAGGCGCATGAAGCGGTGGAACCAACGACGATGATGAAGGTGAGAGGCCGACTGAGATGTGTGTGCGTGTGCGTGTTGGTTGACATGTTGTGTTTCCTTCTTCGCCTCCCTCTTTCCTTGTCTGTTCTGTCCACTCATGTGTCTTTTCTTCTTCTTCTCCTCCTTTTCGATTGATTTGGACACAGGGCCATGCATCCCGTCTCCGTCCAACCGACCAAGCAAAGCAGCCGAGCGAGCAAGCAAAGGACACGGCGTGGCAAGGGGCCGTTTGTTTTCGCCGTTTCCACCACCAGCAACAACAGCAACAACAACAGCTGATGATGTGTGGCTGCATTTGGATGCACTGGCCCTCTGTCTCTCGTCCATCTCCACCTGCTCTTCGTCGTCATTGGTCACCAACAGCAGCGACTGCGACCGTGGATGTGGAGGTGAGATGAATGATGGTGGTGTTGGTGACGTGGGTGGCGTGTGATGTGTTGGGTGTGAACAACAGCATGTATATGTGTGTGATTGTGAAGCGCTGGTTGGATGTCGTTGAGCCTGTTGGTGCTGGTGGCGATGGGTGTTGCTGTCGTTGACAGCCTGATTCTGCGACAACTCACCGCTTTCTCCACGCGCACACACACACAGGGTGTGATGTGCGTCGATGTGCCGTTGCCTCGCGTGACGACGCTGCTGGTGGTGGTGAGTGATTTGTGGTGGATGTACACGGCGCACGCACACGCATGTGCAGGTGTGCTGCTTGTGGTGGTGGTCGTGGTGGTGGTGTCTGTCTGTGGACATGTGACATGTGCGTGCACAGGTGATGATGTGGGTGATGTGAATGTGGCAAAGGAGGTGGATGTGGTTTGTTTCTGCCATGCTGGCTCACTGCGTCGTGTTGTTGTTGCTGATTTGGTTGTTTGTGCTTGCGCATGTGCACATGTGTGTGATTTGCACAGGGCAGTGGCCGATCTCTTCCCAAGCCCTCATGACACGACCAGGGCGATACACGCACACACAAATGTGCCAGAGAAGAAGGCACGAGGTGAGACGCTGGGGCTGTGTGTGTGTGTGTGCGGTAGTTCTCATTCGCACGTACACGCACGCATGTACACATACATTCCAACACACCAGAGCAGTCATTGGCTGTGGGGTGGTTGCACTGACGTGCGTCTCACATGAACCAATCACACAACTCAAATGTGCGTGTGCATGTGTGCGTGGCTGTAGGCGGACGTATGCGGGTTTCCCCAACCGATTTCCTTCTTTCTTTTCCCAACAAATCGCCATTGCTCTGTGTCATCATCATCATCAGCCTTCCCCATGCGATGTGCAGCTGTTGAGGCGTGATCGAGACAGCGGCCAACCCAGGTATCGCAGCAATGGTGAATGTGCTGGATGTGGTGATATTTTGTACTTGCTTGCTCGCTTGCTTGCTTGTTGGGTGCTTGCTTCGTTGTTCTTGTGTGTAGGTGATGCACCCCGCCCACAACAAGCTGCATATTCCCATGCGTGGTCCCTTGTGTCCCTCCTTGTTGTCCTCACCTTCACCGGTCGGTGTTCGTCTCTGGTTGGTTTCTTCTTGCCTCACAGGCAGGCACGCAGGGCAGGCAGGCATCTTGCTGCTGAGCTGCTGTGATGATGGCCGTGCGTGTGCCTGTGCGCTGTGCACGGTGTTTGGGGCTGCACCGATAAAGACAAGGAAGGACACGGCCCGTGCCCACCACTCTTCCCCTTTCATCTCCCCTTTCTGCTCCATCAGCGATGACGATGGTGGCCGTGGCATGTGATTGCGGTTCCTTTTTCTGGCTTCGCTGTGGCCCATCGGCTGGCTGTCTGGCTGGCTGCATCAAGCACAGGTGAGGATGATTGTTGGCGGTTGGTTGCTTGGTTGGTTGGGTTGTGTTGAGTGGTGGGAATCAGGGCAAAGGGGAAAGTGACACGGTGGTGGTGATGGTGATGATGGGGCGACGTGGGAGTGCAGAGCGAAAGGAGGGAGAGGGAAGGGAGGGATGGAGGGCGGATGATGTTGGTTGGGGGATGGGGGTGCGTGTGCACATGCACGTGATGTCGTGTGGTGGTAATATCACATGACAGTGACACACACGTCAGTGGCTCATTCCTTTTGCTTGTACCTGTGTGTGATTGTGATTGTGATGATGACTGCAGTGGGCAACACACGGCGGTGATGCTGGATTGGATTGGCTGGGGTTGACTGGCCGTCGTGTCGTGTCGCCCATATCTCTCCCTCCCTCCGTTGCTCATCTCAA